CAGAGAGAGAGAGAGAGAGAGAGACAGAGAGAGAGAGAGAGAGAGACAGACAGACAGACAGACAGACAGACAAACAGAGAAGGGGAATGCCCCATCCCACCAGGAGAGGAATTCATTCAGACCAAACCACCCCATAAGCCAAGCTTGCTGGGGATGATGGGCGTTCAGCAGCTTGCTTTGAACTGCTCCGGGAGAGTGTCATGGAGCATCGGGCTTGTCAGCTGGAAAGCTGGCAGCCCAGGTTCGAGACTCAAGTGCCACGCGACGGGGTGAGCTCCTGTCCTCAGCTCAGCTCCTGCCAAAGTAGCCATTCAAAAGCTTGCAAGCACGAGTAGATAAATAGGCACCACTTCGGTGGGAAGGTAACAGAGATCCACTCAGGAAATTCTGGGCTTTCACTCTTAATGCCAAGATCCCTTTTCTGCCCACAGATGTCACAGAATAACCCGAACCTGGGGAACCTACTCGGCCTGAAAGGGGAGAGCGATGGCGGGGCCCTGGCAGCCGCAGGAGATGCCACCCAGTACCTGGGCAAGACAGTGAAGGCTCTCGTTCAGGAGAAGCTTGCGGAGCCCTGGAAGATGTACCTGCGCAGGTGAGGGCAGGAAGAGGGCAATGGGTCAAAAGGCTGCTGGGAGGCCAGTGCTGCCCCACCGAACACCTGGGGGCCAGGCTGCAAGGAACCATCCCTGTCCTTCTGTGGCTGCTCGAGGCGGCTCTTGCGTTGGGCACCGAAGCAGCACGGAGGGCACAGTGCCAGGGCTCTGGTTAGATTCCAGTATTTCAAGCATCATCACTTCCCATGCAGGACTTGAGCTATTCTGCCCGTTAATGGAATTTAACCCTGTCTCGACTTCCGTAAAGACGTTTTGCAATAAAAATAGGCGCGTGAAACAGGAGCCCAGCATGACTAAAAGCTAGAAGTCCAATCTACTAGTTCTCTGCGTTGGGAAATCCAGAGCTGGCCTGAAAGAGCCAGAGGGATTTATTGGGCACTCCGAAAGAAATTGAAGCACCATCAAGTGCATCTCATGGAGTGTTCCCTGCTCCTTTGCCTGAGTTCATAGAATATAGCCACGATGGCAAACCTATGGCACCAGGCCACAGGTGGCATGCAAAGCCCTCTCTGTGGGCACGCGAGCCGTCGCCCCAGCTCAGATCCATTGTGCATGCGCCTCCCACAGGCCAGCTGATTTTCAGATCTCTGCTGTGCATGTGTGGGGGCGGGGCGCATGTGGGAGATGCGCGCACAGGGGTTAGGGGCCATGCACACATGCGTAGGGGTCACGCCCATGCATGGAAGGCAGTGAGCAGGGGTGGCCTGATTTTGCTCCCAGGAGGCTGCAGGGAGGCCTACTAGGCCCAAAATTGGGCACGGTGTGTGTGTGTGGCATGCCCCCTGCCCCTGAGGCCTTTTTTGCTTCCAGG